CAAATCTTTCACTGTTCTGACAAATGGTAATGGTTTAAACGCATCTCATGGTGCACTAGCATCTAATGCCCACTGCCCAGACTGGTGGTCTCCTGGTCCCTCACTATGGGGAGGATTAAAAAGAAAAACAAGGTAAAGGTACAGAACTGTTGCCATATCTGAGTGTTTCTTTGTAGGGCACCAACTGGGCTGGGAGGAGAGGAGGGAATGAGCAAAGACACTGTGGGTCAAGCCATCATTTCTGATTGTAAAATGAAACTATCTGGTCAGTCTGTTGTATTGGGTACTACTGTCAGCTTATATCTCTTCCCTCTGGCATCTTCCCTGTAAGAAGAAAAGAGTGCATGGGGATAGCAGAAAGTAGAATGAGAAGATGCCTGAGGAGAGAATAGAAACCCTCAGAGTTTTTAATCGGGCATGTTTTCAAATGGCTTTAAATGTTGGCTTTAAATTTTGGTACCTATGTTACCTGTGGTGACTGGTGCTTGCTTTGTTTAATGTTGATCAACTAGTTTTCAGCAGAGAAAATAAAAAGCAGAATTGAAAGAGATCAGAGGGGAGAGAAAGATGCAGGGAGAGCTGGAGAGAAATGAATAAAAGAAGGAAAAATATGGAAAAATGGAAGGAAACTGGAGACAAAAATATTCAGAGAAAAGAGGAGAGTAGAAAATAGAGAGACAGCAATGAAAAAGAGAATCACAGCAGCAAAAAAATATATTTGAATGACTTTAAAGGCGCAGGTATGTCTTTCTCTTGAAAGCATGGACACCTCCTGGTTGGCACATAAGATACATAACACTCAGTAGAGATTTTCCAGAGGAGAACATGTGACTGCTGTGCTTGTAGGAGACAAAAATGGAGAAAGGTTAACACCAAGAATACAGTAACTGAGGGTGTCCCTAGTTAAGCAGAAGGTAGAAATGAGTACTGATGGAAATCTGCCTTTCCTGGGGAAATGCTGGAATGTCTGAGCTTGAGCCTTAGGAAGTTCAGCTCGGGGCTTCATCCAAAGCCCTTTCTAGTGGTTGAAAAGGTTCTCCATTAACACTGAAGGTCTGTCAGGAAAACAGTCCCTCCCTTTCTCTTCCTTACTTCTTCCTTACCAGTAATCCAGAAGCTTCTACTAGAAACGTTTAGTTCCTGACTTTTTAATTTTTCTCCGCAAAGATGAGAGATGTATTTTCATGGCTGACTTGGAGATCCTCCTGCTTTGTGAGATACATTGATGAACAAGGTGTATGTGAATCCACAAGACTGAAAGTTTCAGGGCAAAAATACAAGGAAATAATCCTATTCTCTCTGAGGTTCTGTAGTTCACATGTGAGAGTCTAAGCTCCTAAAGGTGGGTGGGGGGGAAAAGCTTCATCTTTACCTGAAGATAAAAAGGAAATATTCTCTTGTAGTTAAAATGATTACAGCTGAGTGTTGAAAGAAAACACTAAACATTTTGAAACTTGATAATATACAAATCAGCAACACTGGGAGAAGTGTCTGCAAGATGATTTGAGTTTCAAGGACGTAAACATACTTCATTGCTCTGATTTAGTCACCCTTGGTCATTCAGGATGTAAGTGGGAACTGATCTCATTTAGGAAATCATTGAGAGGAGATGAGTCTGAGGACTTGATTCTATCTTATCTTGACACAGTACAGTTAATAAAGGCAGGCAATTATTATGTTTTCTGGGATGTACCCTCATCTGAGGCATTGTTAATAAACATTAAAGGGCTAGTTCACCAAAGATGTTTAAGCACCTAGCTCCCATTGATTTCAGTAAAATGAGGCATCTAAGTGCCTTTAAAAATCTGACCTTAAGTGTCATCAGGAAAAAGTGAAGCAAAAGATAAGCAGGTTCTAAAAGAATAACAAGGCATGTGATTCTGGTGTGCTCCTGGTTATTACATTTTACATGTTGGGATGCCTGCACATTATAAACCAAACAAAAATGCAAAAGAACAATCTCTGCCTGTACTGCAAAAATTGCTATCACTTCTCCAGTCTTCTCTCAGACATCTTTTACAAAACATGCTGTATGGATTGAGATAAAAAGCAGGAAAACAACAAACCCAAAAATATCCCCTCTGCTCCCTTCAGCCTCTCTGACACAGCCCCCCTCCCAGTGCCAGGCTTGCCCCTCCTTTTCCATTCCCCAGAGTACTTGGTGAGCTGGAGGGGTTTGTTCACCCAGCTCTGTGTGACAGGTAAACAGTTGGTCACAGCCCTAATTACAGATGCCTTTTTTTTTTTTTTTTTTTCACTCAAACATATTCCTTCAGTTAGAGGAAAATACCTTGCTCTCCAGATTAGCCGTATCGAGAAGTTACAGTAGGTATGACACAGTCCCAGTGTGATAAATAGATGGGGATAGGCAGTGGCATACAAATGTTCACATTTCTTTTTCTTTTTTGAGGAAAAATCCTGTGCTGGAAAAATATCATGTTGGTTTGTCACTATCTTTTCAGATTTGTTGCATTTTAAAACAAAACAGAAACTGAGAGGGAAGGGGGTTGCCTTGCTGTTTATGTTTCTTTCATGTTAAGCCAACTATGCTGCTTACCTACTTCTTGATAAATATTGCTCACCTACTTCTCTTTGGGATTAAGTAAATGAAAACAAACCCTCTATAGATAACAATAATTCCCAAAGGAAGAGATTTTCACATTTAAAGGGCAAACTAAAATTTAAAATGATTTTCCTAGATTTCCGACCTAGATTCCCTGTCTTATTCTCAGTGCATTTGTCCTTTTAAAGGAACCAATATGTTTGTATAACTGATGTGAAACAAGCTTGACTCCAAAAAGATTTAACTTAATATCTGGCTAAGCATTCAGAGGGTAGTCCATCTGTAGAATGTACATTAAGGACCCTGGCTGGAGCGCAGCTAGTCATGTATGATATCAGGCACACAAATGTGACGTGATGCCCATATACTCTTGAGCATAATTCAAAGTGCCATGAAGCTCTATGGGTAGAGAAGCTATAAACACAGTTGTCACAAATGAGAAAGTCTACAGGGTTATATTCAGACTGAAGAATGAAGAAGCATTAGAACCAGCCATCACATCTTAATGAAATTGTTAATTAAGATATTGTGGGATTCATAGCTGAAGATAATATCTGTCCAGCAACCTTGCAGCATGCTTTAATTAACCATTTCTTCCCTGGAATCAAAGGCAGACTCAAAAGGGGTGTGCGCAGCCCTCAGTAAATATACAAATACAATGAAAATCATGTTACTTTTTTTCCGGTGGATTTTTTTAATCTTTTTCTTTCTTTCTAAACAGACCAGCACAGAACATGTGATTATAGGAATAAGTACACGTTTAATCTGCATAATCATCAGTCTTTCTTTATGTAAAAATGATTAGTAAATAGGGTTTTTAAGCAACTGTTTAGATTAGACATTGGCATCATAGATTAACTTATTTCTAAAACACTTGATTTTATCACTCTGCCTAATGATTTGTCTCATGATTTATTGGCTAATATGATGAATCATGTAAGATTTATTGTTTATCCTATAAATAGTGCAACAAATCATTAAACAGTGATAAAACCCAGCAGTTTCACAAGTCTACCTATGTTGTCTTCATGTACAACGTGCTTGTTTTGTACAATAATTTGATGGTTCTGTTTTCAGTTTTATGGTATCAGGTGAATAGGCATCTCTGTTTAAATTAAATGGTTTTACGAAATAATAGTGAAGTCATAATCTTATACTCCAGCTATATTTATTTTATACAGAAAAATAAAGCTTAATGCCTGATGGATAGTAAATCTGTAAATTTATTCACAATAGTAAATGTAATATTCTTTCTTAGAAACGCCTTAAATATAATGGCAGTTTTTCATATTTTAGCATGTCAGCTGTGTTTTTCTTGCTATGGTTTCATGATGCAGTTGACAAAAATGTTGCTTCTATCCTGGTAATTTTAGAGATCTGAGCCCATCTCATTCAGCTCAGCTGAAAGGTTGGTGTGGGATATTGGTGAATTGATTATATGAAATTTGGCATTCAGATAATGGGAGCGGCTTTTTTTTTTCTTAAGACATAATGGCTTCTCTTGTTGTAGACAAAGCTAAGTCTGCCTGTATACATTAGGGATGAAAGGACAGAAAATGGAACTAATATTCTTGAAAATTCCCCGAGGTCATCAGTGGGTTAGAATAGATGCGGTCATGATGATATTATATGCTGCAGTAGTAGATTTGCAGTATTTTAAATTGAATTATTTGGACTGTAGTGGTCAATCTTTATTGCTAACAGGGCCATTTACCTTCTTTTGATCTCAAGGTATTGCCACACCCTTTTCACCTGTTGCAGAATAGCTTGTTGTGCATTCATTAGATCATTGTTTCATACAAAGCACCTCCTACAATACCTGCTAATGTTAAGGACAGCTCATCAGCACTTTCAAAATCCAGTACACACTGGAAGCACCAGCCCTTTGTTGTTCATCCTCAGAAGTAAAGCTGAGCTGGTGGAGTACAGCTCTGCTGTCCCCACCCAAGAGCAGCAGATTTGCACGGTGTGTTTGGCACGTATGACATTTGTGCACAGCCCATCAGCTCTGCACGAGCCCAGGGCTCATGACCTGGGAGCTGCACACGAAAAGAGCACTTAAGAGCAGAGTGCTGCTGCTGGTTGTCCCTGATACTCCATTGCCCTGGATAAAAAGGGTCAGTGGGAATGAGACATGGACCACATACCCCACCCGGACAGCTGCATGGTGCCTGAGGCTGTAGTCGGGCACCTGTGTTACACAACACCTTTTTTTTTTGGTATGTCACAAGAATTTAGTTTGTGTGAGAGGAGACAAAATAGGATGAGCAAGAAAATTAAAGAAAGGATCAAAGAATAAACCTCTGGCAGGTTTTGAATGAGCTCAGCTCTCCCCTGACCACCATTGTGTCAGTGATGTTGGTTACTTGGTTTGCTTGTCTGGCACAATTGTAAATTCTGAGGAGTTTGGTTATTGATTACTTGTACTTTGCCATAGGTACTGTCCAGCCTGGGCACTTGGACTCGCCTCTTGTGCCAGATGCTTGTTCAGCTACTTGTTCCAGCCTGTAAAAAAACCTGAACACAAATTGGCAGAATCTGTGCAGCAAGGCTCTGAAAATCATCTCCAATGATCCAGAAAGCTTCATAGCAAGCAGAAGAAGTCCTGCTCCTTGTCACTGTGATTATGGAGACGCAGGAAGCAGGTATCCATGTATGGCACAGCCTAACGAAGTAAGTGTGCCTTGTTTGTTAACTAACTGAGCATGTCCCTTCAGTGCCCTGCTAATAATTCCTCCTCTCAGGTTTTTCAGAGGGAAACTGCCACAGTGCTTAAGATGCACCATGAATAATAAGGTGCTCTTTCTGTGCTTTGGACATCTATTTTACTTGTAGAAGAACACTGAGCACAGCTCAGCAGCTCACCAGTCCTGGGCAGCTGTACAATTTTAAAAATGTGTGGCAATATTCCATGAGTTCTTTCTGTAATACTCTGATCTAGCTGTATTTACTCTCTTTGTGTGTTATTGGCAATGCACTTTATAAAAAAAAAGAAGGAACAACAAATATGAGTCTTTGAAGGCTGGTAAGAAATAAAACTTCTATGGGTACTCCTAAGGGGAACTGACAGTGTTTGTGGGTCAAAATCTGGGAAAAGTGAAGTGAATTGAAAGGTAGGTGGTAGATGAGATGGCTACTTAGGATTGATATTTTGGTGTGTTAAATAATTAAATCCAGGAAGACGATCTTAATGACAGAAGCCAGCAAAGAAAATGTGCTTCTCTGTGCTTGTGTTACTCCATGTGTGTATAAGTAGCACAGATTTTTCCTTTGGTATAGCAATCTTCCTTGGATGGGTGCACCCTGTGGTGCATCAGCAGAGAAAGTAAAGCTGTGGATCTTTTAAGTCTCCAGTGTAATCCCAGGAGGTGCTACAACTGATTTTATTCCGAACAAGCATTTTAATCCTAAATGTGTTTCTAGAGAAATATTCTTGGTTTTCTTAGAGGATTCTCTCAGGAAAGTTTCCTGGAATTCCTCTAGATCTGGAGGTAGAACTATGGAAGAGGAGGAAAACAGAATGAAAATTCTGGATTAAAGGAAGAGGGCTTTAAAAGAATAAATGTTATCATTTAATGCAGAAGGAGGATGATGGTTTATTATACTGGACCAAACAGCTAGAAAGACCTTACTTTATAAGTGCTGACGTAGGCTTATCTCAAACCAGGGTAAAGGTTATTGCATTAAAGGTTTCAAAGCTAGGAAATTCATGTTTCTAGAGTGAGTGCATAAATCTGAGACATTTTTAATCTCACTATGTAAATAAATCTCTTCAGAAAAATAAAATTGTACTGCTTTGATTCATTTGCCATAAACCCTTTTAATTTGATTTTGATTGATAGCTATATCCCTTGCATTAGAACTTTTTGAAAAATTTTTAAGATAAGCAATTACTCCCTCCGGGTAATGCAAAGTTTTCCAACTTGTGAGGATGTGTTACTCCTGTATAAAATATAATTTGCAAATATTTTTTATATTATAATTGCATTTTGCTTTTATCTTTCACAGCATTTGTTCATCTTTCATGCCATACTTTCAAACTCTGCAATGTGACTGACTGATGTGGTAAATGCAGTTAATTTTAATTCTGATTTTTGGGACTGAATTTGTCAATCAATATTGTTCAATGGAGTAATTCAGTAACTGTCGCTAATTTCTTAGCTTTTTTTTTCCTCTTTCTTTCTCTTTTATTTAATAATTTAGAAGTGAAACTTCTCTAAGAGCTACCTGTCAATTTGGTGTTCACAAATTGAAGGATGAGTGGCTGTTGTTTGTATCCCACACGAACACAGCTCTGGTTCAGCAACAGTGATTGTCAGTAGACTTCCATCAAGTCTGTGCTTTTACCCACATTCAATAGGCAGCCAAGATGCCAAAAAAACAGAACAAGCTGCATCTTCAAGAAATAAAAGCACACGGGGAGCACGGGTAACCAGCAGTACAAGATCCAAACCAGATAGATCAAATTAATTCTGTGAAGAGGACTGGATTATATAAACACATTACATATGCCAGATATTGATGTAGGACATTATTCTCTCTTATTCACAGGAGATTCTGCTAGTGTCAATAAGAGGTTTACAGAAAGATGTAAAATGTCATCATCAAGTAGTAACTAATGTTTTAGTTAGCACCATTATTATTTCATATGCAGCATTACCTGATGGGAAAAATCCATTAACTTTAAAACCACAGTTGTGTGCTCTGTATTTCTCCTTGTTTGTTGTCCTTTCAACTTCCCTATCAACCTTTAACATCAATCAACAAATTCATCCTTTTCCAGGTGAGTAACGATCCCATGCTGACTGACATATCTGTCTGGAGAACAAGGAGTGTAGCAGAGCTGATCCTGCAGCACCCCTGTTATCTAGGGCACAGACCTTGGATATTCAGGGGAAACATCCAGAGCGGGTACACTAAAATTATAACACAATTCACCTAAATTTTCCTAGGTTTTTTTTTTTACTTTTATGTAATCCTATCACTTATGTCCTAGTACAGGAACTCAAGATATCCAGTACCCACCTACTGTGTACCGAGGCCCTCCCTGGCTGCGTGTGCAGCAGCTCTGCATGTCAGGCCTGTGGTTCAAAACGATGATCCCTTTTCTCTGTGCAGCCAAAATTATGGACTTGCCGTCTCAGTGAAGCTAATAAGAACTGACTGGCCTAAATTGGACTTGTATTCTTAGTGCATTTTTGGCAACGTCATTCCTGTCCCTCAGAAACAGCCCACATTCCGTTCCTTGTTACTCAACATCAGTGTTGGGATAGATGTGTCCCAAATGCAGCAGCTTCCCAAACATCAGCTGCCTGGAAAACATCTCTCCCCACAGCTCCCCTGCCCTGATCCCACAGTAGGTGTCTGGCTGCATCCTTGTTTCTTCTGGAGGATGGAAGCTTTTTGTTCGTGCAAACCCTGCTCCTTTTGCATCTTGGCTGAAAGCACTCCTTGAAAATAAAACAAGCACGTCTTCCATCGCAACATGGCATCGCTGAGGTTCCTGCAGCACCTTTTTCCAGTGGCTTGCTGGAAGTCCTTGGTTGTACACAGCAGCCTTCTGTTGGCCTCCATAGCTGTCATAGCTCCTTCTAAACCCCTTCCAAGCAGCTCCTTCCCTGCCTTAGGTTCTAGTCAGGTTTTTTGTTTAGATTGTAAAACAACCTGTGAACTCTCAGGCTGGTTACTAGAGGACTTGCAGTGGGGGATGCATCCTGCCCAGTCCCATATTCCTCCATATGACATCCAGAGTGGTACTTCTACTAGTATTTTACTAATCTGAACTCTTCCCCCCTCTCTCCCCCACCCCCTAAAAGTAGAAATAGTTATTTCATAAATACCCAAGTGGGCTCTAGCTTTAAGGATGACACACATTTAATGTGGCTTATGGTATATTATTCTTGCTTAACTTTGAGCTTTTGATTTAGCATTCCAGTTTAGCAGTGGTATTCCACAGGGGATATTGTTGGTTTCCAAATCTTTTGTCAGAGTAATTGAGCATAACATCTTTGCAGGTTTGTGTTTCAAAAGATGCATTATCTTTTCTTGTCCATTTGTTCTTTCCAAGCTATTCAGAACTTTAGCTTTATGGATCCTTTGGAAGAATATGAGGTTTAGGGCTGATAATTTATGTTTCTGCTGAATTTGCAACTCTGCATGTGATGATTAATACACTTTTCTCCATAAATAAGAAGCGATGATATCTGTGAATTGGTAACAAAACAGAAGAATTTCATTAAATTCTGTATTTTGCAAAAGACTTCCATCCTTTTAAATCTTTATAAATTAAACATCATCCATGTCTGGCTGGCTGAAGAATGAATGTCACATATAAGATATCTCCCTTAAATATTTTCTTGAAAGTAATCTATATGATTTACAACATATTGCAATTAACATTGACCTTTTGTCTGCTTCAAAAGAATGTGAGAACAGTTTTTTGACATCAAAGAGATTTTCTAAATTTCCAAAAATATTCCTGATGAAAGTTGTTCTGACTGGGAAAAATATGTCACCTTCATTTAAAAGTTATGGCACACTTGATGGATTATCTGCCTCTTTGCTAACCTTAGTTCATGCACAAAAGTGGATTTAAAAAGACTCTTGCAAATAATCATCTTTTAGAAAATGCAGATCCTCAGAAGTCAAAATTAAGAATCCTGTACTTCCTGTTTAAGATCAACTGACAATTTATTCAAGATCTGGAGGCTGCTATTCACTCTCCCACTTCTTTACAGCCACTTGATTGCCAGCCTACAGCTGCAGTTGAGACTCCAATAAATTTAGTCCTTTTTTTTCATCCAAAATGAAAAAAAAATGAACAAAGTTCAGTTTCCACAAATATCTACATTAAAATTTATTTTAAATATTAATATATTTTAGATCTATGAACAGTTTTGTTTTTAATCAACACTTATGAAAACGTTTGTGGAAAGCAGATAAAGGATCTGTGAATAGGATCAAATTGTTTAACACAGTAAGACGTAGAGTCCTGCTCCTCTCTATTTGCTTACTCTTTGCTCTTCCCTACTTTGGTCCCCTTCTAAAGGTTAGGAAGGCTGCTCTGGCCACAGTGTCCTGCCAGGATGTGACAAGTTCAAGCACTGTCCCCGTGGGCACTTGGCTGGAGCAGCCTCTCTTTGTAGCAGCCCTGACTTTGATGGCGAAGTATTAACTGTTGGGTTGAGGGAGGGGAGGAGAGATCAGAGCACGAGTTAGGCCAGCTGCCAGCCACAGTAAAATTACTTCTGTAACCACTCCAATATGTGTACCAGAATTTAGGGACTCCGATATATTCAGACAGAACAGTTTTACACAAAGGGTAGTTGAAATACAGTCTGGAACAAACTGCCGAAGTCAGCAGTAGAAGCAAATAGTGTAAATCAGCTCAAGGAGGAGTTTTTGAAGAAGGCAGGGGGAAGAGCACAGAGCTACTAGCTAGAAGTTCAAGTTTCAAATGATGAAACACAGATTGATTTGTATTTCCTGAGGTTATGAGGGCAGGTCTTCATGGACCATGTCATCCTCTTTGGGCTGTTAAAAGTTCATATGTACTTTTGTACTGTGTTCATTCAGTTTTAAGTGGTGCTTTTTTCCCCCCACACACTCTCTTGCTCACACAGTCTCTTTAGATACTGTCTTGCAGAGGGGAATGTGAACCACAGAAACTGTTTCCTCACATCTTGGTGAACTTCACCAAAGCCAGTGTAATCATTTAGTTACAGTGGTGCAATCAAGGGCACTTTTCAGCTTATATAAATGTGCCTGCATTGTGTTGTTTCCTGGGAAGGACCTCCTGACCATGATGGATATATTTATGGCTAAACTGTATGGGTAAGGAAATCTTGACTATCAAATCAAACATGGAAGTGTTTTAGCTTTTCAGGGTACCACTAATCTCAGAGCTGTCACACTGATGTGATGAAAGATTCATGTTGCAGGAGGGGCCAGCACAGAAACAAGGGGGGGGCAAACCCACTTTACTGCTCTTCAGTGATGAACCTCTATTTAGTCCTTGTGGACACTGATGTGTTCTTTTTGAGAAGATAAATTCTTCCATAAAACATCTTGTTTTGTGGTTTTGTTTTGTTTTGGGTTTTTTTTGGGTTTTTTTTGGTTTTATTTTTAATATCAGGCAGTTCATAAAGATATTTGTGCATGTAACAGAATCCTTTTTCCTTCTCCCACATTTGCAACCCAGCTATGCTGCTCTCTGTTGGAAGTCCTGAGCTGATTCTCCTGAACCTCTAGGAACCCTTCCTTGGTTGGATAGACCTTGCCTTGAATTTTACCTTGACATTTTTTTTAATAGATAAACATCTTAGATTGCCATTGCTAATATTACGTGAGGAAAGTGGATTGTATTTTATTTCAGTCTTAAGTTTCTAAGTCATAGGCTGTGCTAGGTCACTTGTTCATGCAATACTTTCAGTAGAAATTTTTTTAATGTACAAGTTTCCCCTTCTTTTTTAATTATCTTTTATTCCAGATCTGATAAGCAAAACACAAATGTCTTTTGTTTATTTTGATCCAAGTAAGAACCCAAAATACAGATTTTTTTACTGAGATTCCCTGTGCCTTGGTTTTCTTGCTTAAAGTAATGTTTATTTTCACTGAGATTTCTGTGAGTATTTCCAATATTTTCTGCCTCAGCATAACATTACAAAATGCTCTCTGTTCATTCATTACTGTGCCTATTGGGGTGCTGAAAGGGCATAAAATACCTCTTAATGGTTCCCACTTTCTTCCTGCGCTCAAAACCCTGTTGGAAATCAGACACGTAGTTTCATAACAAAGAAAAATAATAAGAAAATTAGCTGAACTTTGTAAATGACCAGAAATATTCAGTTCTTTCTTCACAGAAATTCATAACCTGTGCTGCACAATCCCTGCTCTCTGCTTCCCAGCCGTAGATGTGCTGGTATTGTGTTTAAAGCCCAACAGAGCAGTAGCAACAAGACAGAGCTGGCCTTACAGGAGCACAGCAGCCAGATGATTGGATCCCATTTCCCACAGGTTTCTAAGTCTGCAACTGAAAATGCCTTGTAACTCTATTAGGAAAGACCTACGGTGATCAATAGAAGCAACAAGGCCACACAAGTACGTCTCGAAGCACGATGAAAATTGCACATCCCGTGGTGCTCAAGGGACTTAATATTTTTCAGTGATTTTCTCACCCCATCCCTTGCCCTCGTTCACAGAGCAGTTCTTCTGTCTCGTGCAGCTTTATTGTGAAATGCAGCTGGGCTTGTTCATTGCCATAGTTTACTCAGAAAATCAGTTCTGTACATTTCCTAAGGTTTTAGGTAATATAGATTATTTTATTATTGGAGGAAACTTTTATTACAGTTTTCTCTAGTTTTGTAAAGATTGGTTTATATTTTAAAGTGGCATGATGCAAATTCAAAGAGAGGATGCCTGCACTGCTGAGAGAAGAGGGCAGTAGCCCCTTGCCTACCTCTCTTGCTTGAGACAAGAGGATCAAGGTCCAGAGCAAGGGTGTGGTTTGTGGAGATGATTTGAGCTGGACCCATGGGCTCAGTGTAGTGACTCAGGACCACAACCTTCCCAGATGTTCTGAGGGGGCACTCTCCCCAGATGTTCTGAGCCCGAGATGACTTGGGACAGATTTAAGGTCTGAACTAGTCTCATGGCAATTTTTTTCTCAACAGCCTTCAGAAGTGTCTCATTTTAGTGACAACTAAGAGACTGCCCGTTCTACTATATAATTATTTTTAGTTTGCTGTTATGCACCCACTACAATACATTGTTTAAAACTTTTTTAATGTGAGAAAAACCAAATGCTTTTAGGTGTATAGGGAGTCTTTTATAGACATGGTATTTAGCTCAAAGCATGTGAAAAAATGACTACTTGACTAGGTTAGCTTTGGGTGCCCTCAGGCTCTTTGAGATTAGTTTTAGATTCATATGCTATGGTCACTCATTGACCAACTGCTTCAACCCTTATACATATCCAGCAAAGGATCATTTCCCTCAGGCATGGTTTACTTTCAATCATATTTAGCAAAACTATTAAACACACTTGGGACTTGCACTGAGGAGAGAAACTACTTCATGTGTACACAACTCAAAACGATTTTCTTCTTCAGGAAGATGAAAAAACTTGGTTAAGTCTCAGTTTGTCAAGACTTAAGCTTGGTACACCCTGAAAGGGCTCTTCCCCTGTAATTAAATTACTTCTGCATTATTCCTAGTGATTTTTGACAATATTTTTGAAGTTGATGCAAAGATGCTTTATTCCTAAGCAAACAGAAAAATTAAATACTTATTTTCACTTCCAAGAGTGTTTGACAGTTGATATAGTAGTGAAATGGGAAACAAATGCTACATTGATTGCTTTTTATCTTTTTAATAGCCCTTACTTTAGCAGCCAAATTTTATTTTTCAACAAATCCTCAAACCATAAGGTTTTCAGCTTTGATGTTTTTTTAAAGGAAGTTCTTAACACACACACCCCTCCTGCTCCCCACAGTTTAGAGCAGATGAACATCCCCAATATTGGATGAAGAGTCTATGCAGAGAAAAGGTGTGAAGCAGAGAGGTTGGGTCATTGAGCAGTGCCAGGTTTCTGATCCCCCACGTAGCTCCTTCCATGTGCAGAGTCATATTGGCTCCAGTTCAGGGAAATTCAGTGCAGGAAGAGTAAGTGTTCACACACAAAGGCTGTATGTAGGACTTGTTGCTGGACCCTAAATTTGGATTTGGGAAGCGTTCCCAGATGGTCGATCAAGTGAGTATTTTTGGTTCTTAACTCAGAAAGATTCACATTAAATTCAATGAGTTCTCTTTATTACACATAAGTTTAAAGGAAATACTCTTCACTTGAACAGTGCAGCTTTGAACAGAGTAGAAAAGCATGTGAGAAGGAGGCATCATTTTTTTGTGTGCTGTCTGTGGGTGTATTTCCCTGTGCACAGAGTTATTGTTTGTGGGAGAACGCTGGGGAATTCTTGGTTATCTACTTTGGGTGGGTGTCTGTGAAAGAATGGTCTCCCAAATTATCCGAGAAGTAAACAATGCTCTCCCTTCAAGATCTATCCTAATTCAAATCCTGTGTCTGACAGATTTCACTTGGGAGTCCACACTCACCACTGCACTTTGACTGCTCAAACCAGAAATCTCTGGTGACACTCCCTCTGCTTAACCTGGCTGGCTTGTACCTGAGCTCTCTTGGATCTTTTACTCATCAAGGCATCTGCACATATTCACTCCTGCTGCCATCTCCTTCTTTCTTTGTACAGAGATCACCTGAGCTGCTTAAATGTGCTTAGAAATTTTAATTTCCAATAGCAGTGGAATTCCTTAGATTTATATTAAAAATGCCATGTTATGTTATAGCTCTGTAAGATCTTCTATAGTCAGATTTAGAAGTTTTACAGGTGCCTGTCTTAGTATCAGCCACATCCATGTTAGAATTTTCTGTAATCATACATCTTTGGTTACTGCAGGTATTTTTGGTCTTGTGCACTGAGCTGTAAATATGAGAGTGAGGTAGAATTTCTTCTTTGAGGTGGGATCAAAATGAGAAAATATCTGAGCAGATATTTGGTTCCCTTTTTTTTTTCCTTTTCATGACTGTCTTGATGTTCAACAAACAGCCAAAATTCAGAATGAAAGGTAAATTGTAGACCTAATTTTTGCTAAGTCATATGTAAAATGCCCCAACCTTTGATACTCCACTAAGTTGACTGGAATTTTAATTTTCTCTTTTCTGTCTCCCTGACAACTTTTAATGGAGGAGTTCTGTGAGAGAAGCTCTTGAAAAGACCTTGGATGTGTACAACTCCAGGAGTAATGCTAGGTTTTAAATCTCCTATTTTTGATTGTGTTTCCTGTCTTATTTAATTAGCATTGGGTTTTGAAACAACAAACAGTCTTTTTTTAACTTCTTATCTTGCTTCATGTAATGGTATTCTGGACCAAACAGACACTGAACTAAATTTTGGGAAGTGTAACTACTTTTTGGATATTTCCCTTTCTCACTGTGTCAAGGCTTGTTGAGCAGTTGCTTAAGATCACAGTCTGTGTGTTATTGTAGCTAACTACAGTGCAGTTTCAAGGCATCTATTTTTAGTCTTCTATTATTCCTCTTTTCAATTGTGCATCTTGTCATCTTCAGTTATTAGAAATTCTAAATTTCAGCATTGGAAGTGCTAAACTGTCTCTTCTACTAGTTATTCATTAATGTTTTGCAATTTAATATTTCATTGTATGTAAAAGTCATGAGACATTATAGTGTGAAAAGTACTGTATAAGTTTTATTATATTCTTTACAGCACTTAAATCTTGATGATTTTCCAGCAGAGAAAATTAGAGATATTTTTCTTACAGGTAGAATAATCAGCAGTTTAGGTGACAGTGTGTTTGGTCATGCAGAATATCAGACTTTTGGAATCATATTTTCAGTTTCTTGCAGTTAGAAAAACAGAATATGATCCTTTTAACTATAAATTAGTACATTTGGTCTTATTTTCTGGAATTTCCATAGTACATGTGGTTGGCTATACCAAGCATATTATCTCTGAAAAACCTTCATATCTTCTGAAAATATTAAATGCTTTAGAGGCTTTGAGAAGAAAACTCCAAGTGAAGGTAATGTCCTAAATGCTTCTTACATGTGCACCTGAAATAAGTAACTTAAAATGTCTTCAGGTTTGAATTTTTAAGGTGCCAAAGCTTAGTTTTGCTTAGTGATGTGATGTCATCACCCTACGACAGCACCTTTGCCTTCACACCACTGCACTGAATTCGTGTCTTGCAAAGGCAGATCCTGGCATCCTTTATTGGTTTTTTTTCAGGTACAATATCACTACATTTAAATTACTGAAAGACACTTCCTGATGATCCTTGTGCTTTCAGTTTGTAAACTGGCAACACTTCTACCCTGTACAATTATGGAAAGGTTTTTTTTTGTTGTCGATCCTTACTCTCACATATGAATAGGTTTCTAGTCTCCCTCAGCACCACCTGTAGTCAAGAGGAAAAGGAGCTCCTATGGGAAATAACTGGGAGCACCTACATTCAGATCCTGTTCTGAATCCCCTGGAAGAGGATCTTTCTTTCCAGTCACTCTGGTTTGGAAAGCAACTGACCCAGCGAGGTGCACAACGTTGAGATCTCTGGAGGTTTTGTTCGTGTGTCATGATAGTTGACTTCAAAATTGTTGTTTAGTGAGCTTTCCTCAGAAAAATATATTGACTCAAATCTTGTTTAAAGCTTAACATAGGCATACTTTATGAATGTCAGAGTTGAAGGGAGTTCAGGCAGAATTTTTCCCTTTGTGTTTGTGTGAAACAGGAATCTGAATTCAATCACGTCTAAAGTTTGGGCTTCTAGAATTAGCACGAGGAATAATCCCACATTATGGGGTGGATTTTTAATGTTCCCTGCAATTAAAATAGTTCTGCATTACATTCAGGCAAAAACTATGCTTTGGCAGGGCAGTGAAACATTAGAGAATTCTCCTCAAATTAGTTACAGAAATTGAATGACAGGGCAAATTAAGAAGAGGCAGGAGGGAGTGAAATATTTTACTTTAAAAATACTCCATAAAGACAAACATGTAGTAAATTAGCAAGTGTGCTTTCCCAGTTATTCGTGGAAACATGTTTGAAAAAAACTTAAAAACCATGGGGTTGGTTTGTTTATTATTTGGCAGAATTTTCCATTGTTTTGTCATTTTTCCCATAGGCTGCTGTGCATGGAGCTCCTGGGGAGGATCATCAAGAGGCTTTGAGGAAGCCTTCAGAAATGAAGCACCAGACATGGAGAAGTGCAGCCAGAATGACTGTGCAAGGCAACAAGCTCAAAGCTGGGCATCCCTTTTGTAAATCTTTCCACCCCAAAGGCATCATTTTGAGCAGTTACATGTATGAAGTGAGAAAATTACAGAGATCTATGGATCTACCTGCATCCTGTCCTGGATACTTCAAAAGCTGCAGTTAAAAGTATAAACCAAACTTCCTCTGCACTTACAGCAGGTGGTATTAATTTATGTCATTTAGATTAATAGCAGTTGTTGTTTAGCAATAGCTGTTGATAAAGTAGTGTCGGTACAACAATATGCAAAAAACTGCATCTAAACTTGGAGGGGGAGCAGGGAAAGCAGCCAAATGCTCCACCCTGAAATATATACATATATATATATGTATATATAAATAAAAATTCCTCTGTCCACAGAAACGATAACTTCAGTATGTTTATTGGGAGTGGTGAAAAACAACCACTTGCATATTCAATGAGACAAGGAACACCAGATTGGATCTGTATATTTTTTTTTAAATGTTGCTTCCAACCACAATGTAAGTGTTAGAAGGGAGGGGCAAGGTTTTTTTTAGGAAATATATTGGGTTTTATTGCAATAAATGCTCCTGACTCGAAGACATCCCTAGTTTAACCTGGTAATCTGTGAGAAGTAGAAGGGCATTGCTGGCAGAAGAGAGCAGAGCTGTGAAAAGGATCTGTCCTTAGGACCTGTCTATCTTTCTGTTTATAATAAAAGCAAGAGAAAAAAAAAGCAGCAGTGTTATCAGTACACTTCTGCAAGTGAATTAGCTAGCACAGATTTGATAAAGCTTATAAACCCTCTAGAGCAATCGTGACAGTTTGCTGGCTTGGGCTTTGTCTGCTGCCAGTTACTCCTTGCTAGTGGCACTCTTTATTTATGCTTCAGTACCACGTTATCCTCTGGGCTTCAAACAGAAGGGACCTGTCTGTAAGTGTTTTGGTTGTGGTGTTAAAAAATAAGAGTGCAGCAAAACACATGCAACAGTGCCCAAGCTCCGTTTCAGCCAGTTTCCCTTCCCGTGGTGTTGCTTCCCCGTGCCTGTTGGGTGCACAGAGCGTGGCTGAGGTGGTGTGTGTCTGCCTTCCACTAGAGAGTGTCACAGAGTTACTTCGATGAATGAAAAAAGCCAAATGGATGCATTATGTGCTTTGTTGTGGGTAAAATGCAAAGTGGTGTGACCTCAGGAACAGGAGATAGGCGTGCCTGCCTACATGTTTTCCATTTTCTAACCACTGCCATTTATTCTTCAATCTGCAGCTAAAAACGTACACAGTGCAGGAGGGAGCCACGTTTTATTACACACCAGGTTTTTTTGTCCATTTGACAGTGTGTACACCTTAATCTTATTTTAAATATATAACATGATACTTTTTGCTCTCTTTTGTACTCAAATTAAATTTATATTTCAAAATGTTAGCATAATTCTGGGATGGACTGTCACAGGCATATTCCTAGCATAAGACATTGGCAAGCAGAGTTTAGACTTTGGATCAGCCTTTGTAAAATTCTACACATGGGAATCTTGGAAAAAAAGTTGCAGTCCATTAGCAAATTCTCATATCTGGACTGAAGATGTATATGCATAAGTAGAGAAATTGAAAAATGGTGTTAAGTAGTCAGAAAGTCTCCAAAGGGAGATCTGGACAAGAAGCTACAGTAATAGCGGTAGATGGCTGTTATTATAAAAAGAAAAACTTAAAAGTGAGGACAATAGTAACACTCCAAATGCATAAAGTAATTTCTTGAGCCTCTGAAATTATATATGGAAATGCAAACACTGTGAAAGTATTGCTTTTCAGGTGTGTCATGTCACTGAATAACACCTATTCCTTTTTCTAAATGAAGGATTAGTCGTGAAGATACTTCATTTGAAAGAATAAATTAAAAATGCAAATACTGTGCTGACCACTGCAGTGCTTAAAATGGGGTTTAATCCTCAAGGTCATTTTAGGTGAACTTTCCTGTCCCTGAATCCCAGCAAACTCTGCAGTTCATCTGTTTTCTCTTATAGAGGACTGATGCCTCCTTTATTCCAGGTTTGTGGTCTATGGCCAACATCTTTGTTCAGCGTGCACTGTTTTTCTTCTTCTTTAGAGAATGTGATACCTCAGGTGACACCAGCTGAGAGTCTGTCCTTTGATCCCTCCCTGTCCCCCCATCTGGGGACATACAGACACCTTGGAAGGCACACTTTTATTCCCAGATGACTTCCAGATTATAAGAAGAATTTTAAAGGCCCTGGAAAACTCAAAAACAAAAGAAGCAGGGCCAGTTGAGCTGGAAAGCTTCACTTTACCTTTTCCTTGAGAAAACAGGGGGCTAAAGGGATGAATTAGGGTGCTGAGCATCTCTTGATGACAGACCACAGCTGAGGGGGTGTCAAAGACCTGTCCAGAGTGATAAAAAGAGATTTTGCTTGAACTTAAGACAAAGCAAATAGTGCAGTGCGAGTAATTGTGTCAGGTGTTACTACAGTGAGGTGAGCTGTAGGCCAGGCTTGTAATGTCAGTGAGAAACTGTAAGGTCCTGAGACTTAATGATCCTGTGATACGTCTTTGTAAGGTTATATCTACTTATTTGTGACAGTCTCAATCTTTGTTCTTAAAAACTTCCAGTTTGCTTTAGCTGTTTAAATACCTCTGCACTTGGCTCACCTCTGTATTTCCACCTTTCCCTAGTGGAAAGGTGAAGTACAAGTAATGTAATCAAAGCTATTTGATTTTTTTTCACTAAGCTTGAGCTGCTACTGCATTGGAAAGTAACATAAACTGTTTGATCGTTTGAGTGTGTAAAATTTGTTTGGGGGAATATTTTGAAATTTTTGCTATTAGTTCTGTTTGGAACATACATATGTTGCAGCAAGGGAGGGATTTTCCCATCCTTGCTTGACATTCATCCCTAAATGAAGGGAAATGTACAGCTGTGGATAACTAAAAAAATATTTGAAAGAACCTACTTGCCCCCAGTAAGCTGGTTTTAGGTACAGAGGTGTGGAAAATAATAAATAACAAAAAGAATCCCCATGTTACTGGCCTGAGCAGTCACTTGCAGTGGCAGTAGGACATGCAACTCTTCAGTCCAGTGTTTGCTCCTCAATCCATCCCATCTCCCAGGGTACCTCCTAGAGAAGACTAAGAAAACTGCTGCTGTATTTTTTTCAAAAAAGAAATAGAGAAAGTCTACAGGTGAGCTTTGAACAAAAAATATTTATGAAACTTATTGCTCTGTTTTCTAGAACATACTGGGGCAGTTGCACAACCACAGTTACAGGAGGAGGGAGAAGGTTTCTGTGGCTCTGCCAGTGGCTCAGCAGGAATGGGTAAGTAACTATCTCTTGAACTCAGTTTACCTTTTATATTTAGAATTGAAACACATCTTTCATGAACTACATAAGAATGTTTAATTAATGTCTGAGAGCTCTGAGACCCTTTTTAAGGAGGGGTTTTTTTATTAATAACCAGGTGTCTATTTTTCACTTTGACTTCTCATAAATATTATCCTAAAGAAAAAAAAAAAAGGAGTAGAAATATTTTTAGGAGCTTTTGGATAAGAATTGATACTGAAGTAACTTTGAAAGATAGCTTATACAGCCATACTATGTGCACTTTTATTGCAAGAGGGATTTCTAACAGTCAACAGAAGTTCCTTCTTGAGGACCTGGAGAGAGTGTGATCTAACTCTTTCAAGTTAATCATGAACCACAGAGCAAGCACTGAGTAAACTGATAGCCTAAATTGAAAGGTCACAGCCTGTCTAGAGAGAGAGAGGTTGGTAGTATTTCCCTTTTAAAAGAGACATGACAATTCATTTTGATCCCTGTCTTAGAGTTACAGAGGACTTAAGGCGAGAGCATGTTCAGCTGGAGCTCAGCAAAAGGGACTGGGTGCCTCAGCACACACCCCTTGTGTCACTGCCACTCCTGTGCCCCTCACAGCAGAAAGCAAATGCAGTCTCAGGCTGTGTCACAGCTCTGTGTTCATCCCTTTTCTTCAGCTGCAATTCATTGAATTCTTGATTGTTTTACTTTTGTGTGCACCACAGTGGGTTTGAGGGTCACTCCATGAGGAAACAGCTGCAGATATGTCCTTAGTCTTCTTTAGAGTTCTCACTGGATCCCAGGACACCTTAGGCTTTGCACTTTGTGTACATGTGTGTATTTGTCATGTTCATAACTGATGGGGCAGCAGAAAAGGGAGTATGGAAATGTTAATATACAAAATGTATTAGAATTTGATCCTACTAGCAGAATCTGTAAGTTAGCAGGAGTATGTCTGTGTCATAATGAGATGATAATCCAAAAAAAGTAAAATTTGTGTTTCAGTATGAGAAAACTGTGAAGGTTTAAAGCCAGAGTGTGTGTTCACCTGTTCATTTTTTCCCCTTTTCCCCAAATATCCCTCTATGCCAGGTATATCCTCCAGCCTTTGGAGCTGCTAGTTTAAACAGGAATAGATATGTAGAAGTGTATTCATGCTGTGCTACACTCTAGGGCAGGTGAGCACTGAATTTACCTCCAAGTGTTTTAAATGTCAAATAAGATTAACCATCCACTAATCTTTCTAACAATTCACTGGAAGTTCTTCTCCCTGGCAATGGTTTTGCATAATAGACAAGGTAACCCCTTTGCTGCCTGAGAGTTGTTCAGCAGATGGCCAGCAAAAACAAACCAGTGTTGGATGATGGGACCATTTTACATGCAATGTGCTGTTGCATATAATGTTTTCCTGAACGAACAGCAAACATTGCCCAAAGAATCTCACAGACGAATCACTAAGTGGTTTACAGAAGTTAATGGCCAGGCACTAATGTACCCACTCCTGTATTTAGAGGGAGGAAATAGTGATATGTGTGTTTAAAAGACCCCAAATGCTGCTAGATTTTTTTTTCAGAAATAAAGGTAAGAACAACTTGTGGCAACTGAAAGTTTGTTTCATAATCAAAAAAGAAAGAAAAAGAAGGGAGGGAGGGATATTCCTGTTTCCACATATAACAAGACTACTTTAAATGTAGCACAGCACTATTTGATTCAGAGAAAACGTGGTTCCTCAGCCTCAGGAGCTGAGTTGTAATTCCAGATCTATAGCAATAGCCAACAACAGAAGGAAATAATCATCACATGGGGACTAAGATAACTGTAGAAGAATACACTGGATTTTGGGGAAGAGGCACCCTTTTTGAAAAAGCTTTAAAACCTTAACAGAGAATTTGGATCAATTAGATTTTCCTGAGACAAAAAGGAGAGGACTATGTTTATTCAGAGTTGTCTCAGGGACCTGGGAGAAACTTGAATTGGAACCCATAATAAAAATACCATCTGGGAATATCTTGCAAAAGACACCTTGATATAAAGAAATGGTATTTTTACCACTGACCTAAGAATGGTCTCCTCACATGTGACCTTGGGATCTAAAGAAAATCCTGGAAAAATAGTTATTATTACTCCCTGCTTAAAATATAAGCAGTTGCCAGTAGTATTTTCTTAACACGGTCTTTTATTTCAGCCCTTTACAATAGGTATATTTTGGAGAAGCATAAAAACTTGAATTCAGATAGAAAAATATTATCAAAATATTGAACAGGACAGTTAGATAGTTTAAAAATTGCAGGAGGGGGAATCACATCAAAAAGTGGAGCTGCACAAAGGGCAGCAGGGATCTGGGTTGTTCAGGGCAAGAGAAGGCCAGGATCCCTCAACTGTAGGGGTTGTGCCTGAGGTCCCTGTGCCATGGGAAAGGGAACCTTGTGTCCAGACCTGGGCTCTCAGACCCCTCTGCTCTGGCCCAGGGTGTTCTGTGTTATTCAGCCAAATATTCCAACCCAAGCAGGGAGAGATTTCCCACCCTGCATCCAAACAAAATGAAGTCAGCTTTGACTCTGCAAAATGTCGATGAATTCTTCAGAGTAAATCAGCCCTGTCAGTCTGATGTGGAACTGTCACCTACTTGTGACATAATATAATATGAAATGATATTGAACAACATGCGTTTGGCACTAAATTGTTAGCGGGTTTTAGCTTTGACAGCAGCAAGTTTATTGCTTTAATCCCAAGGTCTTTTAACCCTCTTTGACATAAATTGAGGTTGGCTTTTGTGAGAAAACTCCACTTCACTCTCTCTTCCTTTACCTAAAACTGCTTTTAACAATTCATGCTCATACATCAGACACTCATTTTGAGTGACAAAAAGAAAAAAGATCTATTAGAATAGAAGGAAAAAAGGGTCAATTTAGGTTAAGCAGTGTATGTCTCTTTTGGTAGGCATGTCACAGCTTTCTTCAGGTGAATGTGAATTTTAAGTTGTAATAATGTATTGCTGTAGCAAAATAAAACAAATCTGTGACAAGAAGGGAGAATAAGTATTGCAGGAGAAAGGCTGATAACCTGCACAAGACTATTTCTTTCTTTTTTAAATGCAATTTAATTTATAGCTAAGATGGGTCCATTTTGAAACTTCTCTTGTAAGATCAAAGGATTTTCTTCTTTGTGCAAACACTGTAGAGAGACTAGTTTAGTGAGGGTCACGTGTAGAAATACAGATGTATGGAGTAGATACTACATACACAAAGTGTTGCTGAATAGTATAGCTGGCTGATAGCACATAATTTAATATTTCTCCTTTTTGAGACACCTTGTTTAGTTTGATAAGTAAGTACACGTTGTCATCAGTGCTCTGATAATCCCGTCACAGAAATGCATCATATATGAACTCTAACATCAATAACACAGGACACTTTTATCACCCTTGTTTTTCTACTCTCAATTACTATATGAGGCTCATAGTGTTGCTTTGAAATCATTTCTTTATTACATTTAAAGCTCAGCTGAATCTGCCCTTGAACTGTTTAATAATGGAGAATGAACACATTCTCAGCATATTTGCAAATTATTTTTTTAATGTTTTCTTTGTTCTCACATAGAGAGGAGTATATTACTGATCTACCATCACTTTTACAGAAAAGTAAGGAAAGTATTAGACAAAAGGAAACTTGCGTTTCTCTCCAAGTGTGAACATTTTAGAGGTTTTATCCAATTTTTTCTTATTTATAATTTTAAACTATTATTAACTGCAACTTCCTCATAGCCATTTTGCTCCTGGCTAATGTTTGGGTAAATACATAAACAAGTTTTTCTATAAGCATCAGAAATGATACTGTCTGTTATTTCCTACAGATTTGTGCCTTGTTTCTCTTGCACCCTTCCCCATGGCAATAACTTTATTTCCTCCTTGGCTTTTGGTTTCCCTTCCACTCCAACACCTTCAGCTCTCTCTTCATATGCCCAATTTTCTCTACATCTTTCAAGTCTTCTGCCATAACATCTTCAGGTACCTACAGCTGACTGCAATGCACTAATCCTCTACTCACATATATTCCTCACAGACTAAATGCAAAATTAATCAATACAAATGATAAATAAACTTTATGGCATTTTTATGTTGGGAACACAAATCAGGAAAATACCAAAATAAGAAGGTATTTCTAGACCTTCTATGACAAATAGTGTTATTTTGCGTCCTAGTTATGTTATACGGAAATTATAATTTTGTTTTTATAGATCATAATCTATCACATTCTGTACCCTGGAGATATGTTGATTGCTATGTTATATGCTAAGTATATCTTGCTGTACATTTAAAGCCAAGGTAACATCAATTTTGATGGTTGTCCACATTTTTCCAGTCTGGGCATCTGACTTCTTTTTTCTTCATCCTTCTCCTTATGTCCTTTGGTTTGAAAGCAGGATGTGCCAAGCTGCTGATGTAAATCCTGAATTCTCGAAAACCAAGGGTAGTAATTTCTTAATCGGGATTTGGCCCTGCAGATTGACCACACCTGCTGGAGCAGAACAAAATGCCTCCACCAGGTGTTTCCAATTGACAGGTCCTGCTCCACCACAGTTCTCAGCAGGGAGCATGGGAGTTGAGATCCTGCGGCATTGCTCTTCTTTAAGCATTTGATGCTGGCAGCCCTCGCAGTTTCCCTCTTCCCATTACAGTTGTAAGTATAAATTCCACAACATTTCCAAATCCTGACAGAATGAAACTTGGGGAATTGGGAAAATGGGGTTAGTGTATGAATTGTGATCTTGTCCATGCCATAAAAAGCACTATCAGCGGGCATTCAGCAGCTGAACTACCCTCATGTTGTTTGTATTTTTATGGACACTGTTATAACTATAGTCAAGTATGATTTAACTTTAAAAGGGATGCTGTAGCATTGTTCAAGTCCAGAGCTGCCATAATCTTTTGTGGTAAATCTCTTGGATTTTATGTAGCATTTAAAAAGGAAAGTAACATGAAGAATTAGTAATAGAACACACAG